TTTTTTTTTTCTTTCTTTTTTTTAAATTTCGCGCGCTCCTCGGAGCTTCTTTCTTTCGATCGGCGATCCGAGGTGCCTTCTCGCAGCTGAAGAAGAGGAGGAACGTTTGGAAAGAGATTGTTGTTGGTGTCGGGAAGGCAACGTGGCCTTTCGAAAGCCGCGATTTCGTTACCGTTCGACACCTTGAATCCACCTAGGCGAAGGTGGTCGATCGCTGCGAAGGATCCTCTCGCAACCTTGACCCACTGGGATCAATCCGCTGCTACAATTATAAGGCGTATATATATATATATATAAGTCGATACGAACGATACTTCGAATCGAAGCCTCATAGATAGTTTTTCATCAGTCGGACAGTGGAAATATGAAACGGTGATCGGTGGACTCGCAGAAGAAGCATTCTTACGGTGTAGAAGGACGATGCTTTTCATTGTGCAGATTGGACACGATCTCTCCGGTAGTCGTCGATGAATAGATTCGCAACAGCTCATTCTTTGGTTTCTTGGCAACGTCAGATGAGACTTCTACTATGCGAAGACATGACTTCTGGTGCTATTCAAGGTACTTCGTCAGTTTGTACTAGCCACTTTGAAAATTATCAGTGTGCCTATTAAATTCGTTAAAATAGTTTTATTTCCTTCGCTTGTGTACAGGGTGAATGGGGGTAGACGGCATTCGTCGAAACGATGAAAATAAGTCCTAGTAAACACGAGTCGAAGAATTGACAATCAGTTGAAAAACTAAAAATTAACAATTAGCAAAGGTGTGAGCGATCCTTCGGTTTCGGTGAATGAAATGCTTGTGACAGAAAAGTTAAAGCACAGAATCTTTGAAAGAGTATGTAGAAATTATAAGGTAAATTACTTACCTATAATATGACAGCTCTCGAAGCGAAGAATGAGAAAATTCTTCAAACCGAAACAAAACATCGTTTATAACTTTGAAACTATTAATTTTTTTCTATTCACCCTGTACAGAGTTATGACTTTGGTCTCGCGTGTGTTGCGATAACAGGCGGAGATGATGATTTCTAAAATCAGTTATATTTTAAAGGAAAGGAAAAAAAAAAAAAGAGAGCGCGATTAATTAATATTTCCATCGATCGTGCAGTCTCCTGTTCTGACGTCCCAGTTTCTTCTGGCAAATTAAACAAATTTGTAGCGACGTTCGCGAATCATCGGGTACGATAATCTCGACAATTTGTCAGGATCAATATCAAGTGCGAGAGGGGAGGGCGGGGGCGGTTGAGAGGTACTAAAAAAGAGTTCATTGTAACGCGCGCGATCGATGAGAGAAAACACGTTAACACGTCGGCTCGGCCTGAAGCCACCACCATCGTGCCGATTAAACCGGCACACATTTTTATTTTCATTGCTTCTCGAATCGTAATCGGCAACGATTCAAAGCACTCGACGATTTATTAATCACGCCCGGCCAATTAAACTAAACACGATCGAGCGTCGAACATGTGAGAATAACAGACTTGTTGTATTTAACTTGCTGGCGAGTTCCACACACGTTCCGATCGGTTAGCATGTACACATGAATTCGTAAAATTGTAAATAATTTTCCCTCTCGATCAGCTCGAGCAACGGAGACGCGAACCGATCGAAAATACAACGGAGCCAGAAACGTGGGATCGTGGATGATGGTCGAAAGACGGGGATAAATTCGCGTAGAAGTAGAAGTCGGTCTGTAGATACGATTGGCAATCGGCCAATCGTGATATCACGAATGTACGCGTCGTGCGTACTGGCTGTGTTTCCCAAATGAGCTTCATACTTTCGTTTCGCAATGGCAAACTGGTAAAACATTAGGCGTTGAGGCTTGCGTGATTTTTTCGTTCCGACGCAGCCTTTTTTCACCCTTTCAATCCGTATATCATAATCATCGTCACGTCAGAACGCATAACGTTCTTTCAATATCAGGACGCGCTTTACAGTTCAGATATTCCACTATTTGAATGCGAAAATTTACCATTTAAATAGTAAAGTAGCGGAGGGCTGCTCGAATTCTATCGTTTGAACGATAGATTCCCATCCAGAGATACTATTATCCGACGCGGTGTGTGCTTGTCGGAAGGAATATTTTTTTAATAGAGCTACAAGTCCCGCAAAAATTTGTACTGACAACTGATAAGGCACAATCGTACTAATCACGTGGACGAATTCATGAAAATTTGCAGAGATAGCTGCTGGTCTGCTTCTATCAGGAACAGAGGCGATATCTAATCAGCTACGTATTTCAACTACGTGTCTAATCGTTAGATTTAAAAAAAGAAAAGAGAGACTTCGAAATGAACGGAACGCTTATCTCTTGAACGAAACGCATTGTTCGCATTAACTCGTGGTCAGAAAATAGCATTTCATTAGACGATAAGTTTAGAATGGTTATTCATCCGTCATGCGGAGGGAAGTGAGTCACCAGGTTTCTAACTGGCGATCGAGACATCCTCCGAAATGAATCTTTTCTTTTCTTCTCGTTTTGTCCATTCGTTAATTACCTCTTCAATTTTCAAAGACTTTTCTTTCCAACCCTCGTTTCGAAACAGACTCGTATTTCTTGCATGGAATATCCTCCACTCGCATCTTGTCTTTCCGATTCATCTCTGCTTCTCCTTTATTTTCGGCGCGTGAAATGATCAGAGAACGAAAGGAGAGTGAAGAGCTCGGTTAGTCGCGCGACGATTAGTCCGAGACCAGAAACTATTTCCGAGTCGATAGTTGCACAATCGGGCGATATTAACTCGAGATCATGGTCGTTTCTAGCCGTGTTTAGTCATTTATACGACCGCTTGGTGATGTTACAGCCGATTGTGAGCACTGGCTCGTTAAAACATCTGATTCGCCAGATATTGTTAGTACATCCATCGGTTTTACGGTCAACGATAAATTGTTTTAATTCTCGTGGAACAGTCGTTCCACTTGTGGAATTTTTTTTTTTTTTTTT